AAAATAAAAAATAATAAAATATAAAATATAATAAATAAAATTAAATAAAATTACATTAAATAAAAAAAATAAATTCAATTCAATTCAATTAAAATAAAATAAAATATAAAAAATAAAATAAAATAAAATATAAAATAAAATAAAATAAAATATAAAATAAAATAATACAAAATAAAATAAAATAAAATAAAAGCAAGTTGTCCTTTTGTTGAATGTCTTATGAAGTTCAGAAATAAAATGTTCCTTTGGCAAAATGTTCAAGTACATAGCAATAAAAAAAAAAACAGACAATTTTCCAACATTGGTTTTGTAAAGCGACACTTATGAAGAGAGGAAATTCTAAGACACTGCAAGTCCTGATGCTTCAGCGTGGGAAAGTTACTAGACAAGTTAAGGGAGATTATGGCCTTGCCCTAAGAACATTTCCTCGAGTAAAGCACGATCTGACTGCACACGTTTCAGGAACTATGGAGATTTGGTGGTGGAGAGCAAATTATTTTCATCCAGACAAAGATATGTAATAAAGAGCTACATTATTCTGTGAATGAGAGCAATTTCCATGAAATACGAGGCCCCTGGGATCTCTCTCAAAAAGATGATTCTGTATTACAGTACATTTTTCTTTTTGATGTTTTTTTCCCCTCTTCTGCTGCAGATGTAAAACAATGGAGTCTTTGCCGTTCAAAACACAGCCCTGCGATTATGGATGGAACAGCTGTAGAAAAATAATTCATTTATCACGAATGAAGATTCAGTGGAAATGTGCAATTGCTTTTGAGAAACTTCTTTTTATAATTTCATGCCATGTAAAGCCAAAAACAAGAACAAAATCTCAAAATACCGCAACTGAAAATAAATATATATTCTTATATTTTCTAAAGCAAATATGAGAGGTGCCAAGGTGTTAAGGGTCAGTAAGTTTATTTGTGAAAGAACGTAATATTTTTATTTGTCAAGGATGCATTAAATTGATTAAAAACGACAGTAAAGACAATTACAATATTGCAAAAAAGTCCATTTAACATAAAAGCTGTTTTTTTTTTCATTTTCAATTAATTAAAAAATCCTGGAAAAAAAATGTATTACCATTTTCATAAAAATATTAAGCAGCACAACAGTTTTTAACATTGATAATAAAAATAAATTTTTCTTGAGCAGCAAGTCAACATATTAGAATGATTTCTGAAGGATCATGTGACACTGAAGACTGGAATAATAATGATGCTGCCAAAAACAGGAATAAATTACATTTGAAAACATATTCAAATAGAAAACAATTATTTTAATTGTAATACTATTTCAAAATATTACTGTTTTATTGTATTTCTGATCAAATTAATGCAGCCTTGGTGAGCATAAGAAATGTAAAACACACACACACACACACACACACACACACACACACACACACACACAAGAAACTTATTTAGATAAACTATATATTAAGATAACCTATATTATATATTAATAGTTTTTTTATGTATATATGATCTAATTCAATTTTTATTAGATATGTTTAAGTGTTTATTTTATCATATTATTCTGTGCTTGCTTATAAAATAAAATAAAATAAACTACACTCTACATAATATGAAGCATAATGTTACAATCTCTTTCAGGGCTGCGTTTCCCAAAAGCTTCGTAAGCCTAAGAAGTTCGTAAAAACAATCATACGACTGATCTTAATATTACGGTCTGTTTCCCAAAAGCATCGTAACTTAAGTAGGCTAGCACTTGAAAATCATCGCAGATCTACGAGTGCTCTGGAGTAATCGTAAAGCCCTAAGTGCATCGTAAGAAGACAGATTTATGCGGTCACCTGCAGGACAATCGGCAGATTACACCTTTA